CATTGCATGGCTTTCTCATTAGAGAACATTCTGGGCAGAAATGTGATCAGAATTTACATAGGGTTTTTATTCTTTTGGCTCATGAAAATACTTCTCAAATTCTGGACATGTAGCAGTTTAGATGATACGTAGCATTTTTTTGCTGTATCAGAACTGTCCTTCTGCCCTTGCCCTTTAATCTTCAATGATAATCAAGAAAAGATTATTAGTAAACGCCATCCTCTTTATATTTTATTAAACAGCTCCCAAGCATTACAGTGTATTAACTCTTGCTTCCTCTACCAAGTGCTTCACACTATCAAAATATAATTCATAACTAAATTGATGATGATGATGATTTTCCTTCATCAGTCTACATATGCAAGTGCAGGGATAATATATTTGCAACCTGGTGCTCTTCAGAGAGCTTGAAGTAAAATTTCTATAAGCTCCAATATGGCCATTAGTAAGAGATTAAGGAGAGCAATGATTATCTATTCTTGCAAAAATGTTTATACCAATATTACTGCAGATATTACAAACTAGTACTGAGTAGATTGTTTAATTCAATATGCTTAAATTCCACTTAGTTGCTTAAATTCAGTCAAGACTATGTTTTCTGCAGTCCCAGCATATATTTTATTTATCACATTTAGAAACTGCCCATCTCCCTCACAGGGAGAAATAGACATTAGAGGTTGTGGATCATGATTATATATTTCAATTCAAGTTTTAAAATAGTACTAAGTTTCCTATCCTAAACTCTTGAAGAGCCCTCTTTCATTTCACCTTTCCCAGCATTATAAACTATCAAGAGATCTAGGTATCCAAAATATGATAATTTGAACCTGGCCATTTGGGTATCAAGTGAGAAGTTTAAAAGGATTTATTCTATGACTCATTAGTTTGCTTCCTTGGCTTCCATGGCATGCTGGGGAGTCTTCTTCAATACTAAAAGGTTCAATTCTCTTTTTATTCTGCTTATTTAGAGTCCAACTTTCTCTTCCGTAAAATAACAGAAAAACATTGCTTACATAATTTTGATCCTTGTGGGCAGGCGCATCACAGCATTTGAGTAACTTTTTCAAGACTTTGATTGCTACGCCATTGTGGGAAGAAATGTCCATCTGGGTTCAGTTCCAAGTGGGAAGAAAGACACTGGAAATATGGAGGCTATTTGGAAAGATAGTTTAATGGTAGACAGGACCACATGGTTTGAGGTCCTGGGCAATCAAGCACATGGGTGAGAGAGAGATTTATACTCTCTCTTGGGCTTTGAACTTGCTTTCTATTCCTATGAAAGAAATGTATTCTGATTGGTTGTCAGACTCCCACAAGGCTATGCAGGGGAAACTTTGTAGGTTGTCTTGAATCCCAGGGTTGGTTGAACCTTGCTGGGTGATGCAATCTTCCCAGGTGCCATATGGTGAGATGAGTAGAGGGTAATCCTATTATGTCCAGAGGGTGAAGGTCTTTTGTTTTGTAGATAAACTGGTCCAGCCTTTTGTCTTGTAGATAGGATGGCCCACTCTTTCTGGGGCTATTAACAAAGGTGGGGGCTACTTTCCAAGAGCAAGTTTCTCCTTTTCTCATCCAGGGAGGTATAATATTCTGCCTTTTTAATATTTCCTGAATAATTCATTCATCTAGGAGAAGTGTGGGTGCTAACTTTCTACACTACACCATCAAGTGCTAGTCTATGGTATATTCCTTGACTTTTTGTTCCTTTATTGTTAATCCTAAAGGTAAAGCTGTTCAACATAATTGTACTGTGAATTCCCAGACTTCTTTATACTTAATCTTAGATCCCTTTTCACTGTGCTCCTTGACTTTCATTATTAAGATTGGAAATAATTCATATTCTCAGCTATTAGAGTAGTATCATCAGTACAGCTTTGCTTATTGATGTTTCTTCCTCCAGTTTTAAAAATCGTGGTCATCTTTTTCCAATTCCTCAATATACATTCAACATATAAATTGAATAAATCAGAAGAAAATATAACTGTGATTTAACAAATCATAGATAAAACAAGCCTTGGCTTAGAGTGTAGTGTCTATTTAGTTTAAGTTGTTTTGACCCAGGCTTCGTCAAACATAATTAAACACAAACTTGTTTTAAAAGCAAAACCTATTTTATTGCAACACTGGGAATTCCTTGCATTCCCAGCCAGAACTAATCTTAAACAGTTCCCCAAAATAATCACATGCCTTTCAGTGCTGTGGAATGCTGCCAAAAACAGAAGTATCCAATTTAATTATAACAGAAACCAAGTACCAGAAGTACCAGAAAAAACCAACAGAGGTTCACAGAGGTTCAAGGAGGATTTGGAATCTATTGAACTACTTTGCTTACTGCAAAGGTTTCATCATTGAGGTCTGACTTTTATCCCTTAAGGGAGGGGCAATCACCTCCCAGCCTTACTCCTGAGTCGCCCCTTCTGTTTCAGCTGCTCCCGCCTTCTAGCAGCTCTGCGCATACACACACTGGGAACAAGCTCCCCTAGGTCCTCTGCTTCGCTGCTGCCAGGCTCCAAAGGTTTCAAAGGCAGCACCCCACTCCCAGGTGGTCCTGGCCCAATCCCTGCATTGGATGCAGGATCCTCGTCCAAGTCCTCTCCAGACTCCCTGCCTAGTCCCCTTTCTTCCTCACTGTCCGACTTCGTTGCCGTCTGCACTGGCTGCCGGCGAACCACAACATAAGTCTCTGCAGCTGCTTTATCTGCCTTTTCTTTTTGAATGTTCACAAACTGTTTATTTTTTATATGACAGCCTTTCAATTATTTGAAAACTGCTAAGCACATTTAATCTGAAGTATTATGAACCTTGAAAAATTGAAGGCAATAGAAAATAGAAAAATCAAGGCAAGAATACAACACAAGATGGCTTAGACTCTCCCAATATTATGACCATAAAATATGGTGTTCAGCTCAGGCTACAAAGAGATGGAGCAAATGAATTTCAAATATCAATACTATGGACATTATGTCATGTAAACCCCAAATCCAGAGCTGAATAGCTGAATAAAGTATGATTAAGTTACCCACAAGTATGCCTTTGTATTTTCTCTTGTATCATATTCAAATTCACAAGTTTGCATTTCATAAATGTATAATCCCTGCAAATAAAATTCTTAATATAAATGTCTTTGGTAATAACAAAAGTTCTAAACCTTGAGTAATGGTTTCATCATTAACAATTTTCATTTTTTGTTTGGCTATTGTCCTTCTTTTGGAATTTCTCATTTTTTTTCCCACTCATTTTTTAGCACTGATTGACTGCTTCTCAGGGTGCACTGACAGGTTTTTGAAGACACTGATTTTAGAACATACTCAGAGAATAAGTTATACTGGCACTGTAGTTATACTCTCTTTTTTGCTTGATTTATGTGTCACACTGCCTCACCATTTTATAAAATAAAAACAAAACTGTTAACTTCTTCAGAAAAGAAAATGAAGCATAGTGTGAACTGAATCTTAAGAAATGAGTACAAGAGGGAATTGAACTGTATCTTGGAGGTTCCAAGGGAATATCATAGGCAACTTTTCTGTTATGCCAAGCTTTTCCCAAACTTCCTTGAGAGCTGCTACCTTGACCCTGTCAGTCAGAGAATCAATGCATCTTAAAAGGTTTTGCTACTGCAGAACTGTTTCCAATTTGAAAAAAAAACATCAATCTGTGATGACAGAAAAAAAGAAGCATCCATTTTACAATCCAAGATGCATTTTCTTATTTCAGCTGTTCTGCTTATTAAATTTCACCATCCAAAATGCATTATGGCATTTGGTTTACATAAGAGATTCAGCATGCTGTTATGGTCTGAGATCAACCCTGGATTCAGACTTTGAGGCAGACTTAAATCATCTTCCATTTTGTCTGCCAAAAACGATATTGACAATAAGGGCAGCTTTACAGAAGCTGGAACAGGTAAGGAAGTTAGGAGAAAATATTCCTGCAAAGGGTATATGTTGGCCTTAGTGTGTTTTATGAGATCAAGATCAATTGTTCCATTTTGAACTCTTTCAAAGAAAAGGGAAAAATTCTGGTAAAATACTAATAATAATAATAATGATCTCGTTTCGGATTTTGCTTGAGAAACCATGAAGGGAGCCCTGTGTGGGTTGATAGCAGAGGCTATTCAGCAGATAAATCAACCAGAAGCCGTTTCTGCTCCTCACAGATTTGAGGGCAGGGGCTTGCACAAGCCTTAAATGCGGCTGTCAGTCCATCACAACGAAAGGGGGAAGGCAGGAGTGGTTGAGGCCAACGGTCGTTGGAGAAATGCCTCGAACGCGGATCAGCCTCAACCCCTCTCTGCCCTTTCCTAAAGCGGGATGGGGGGAAGGGAGCGGCTGCAGCAGAGTACGCAGGCGTCAAAAACTCAGTTAACCTTGCGTGGAGCGAGCCAAACACGAGAAAGTACATGAGAGCTAAAGAGCAATGTGAGAAAGTCCATTATGTAGAACGGCGGGGGGGCAGGGATGAAAGAGATGGTTCATTCTATTCTCCATAGCTTTGGGCCCACATGGAGACTTCTGTTAAAGCACAACTAAATATGCAAAGGATTCTCTGATCAAACTTTTCTTTGAAAATTGATAAGCAAACAAAACGACTCTTTTTATCCAAATGGTACAATCCATCTGCATTTTAACCAATCATAAAATACTCTCTTAGGGGTATCATAAATTACCGGGTAGAACTAAAACGCTAAGGCCAACGCACGCTAAAATTTGTAGCTTCGAATGACATCATCCTTCTCCTGAGAGTTGGAGGGGGCAGGACGGCGTCACGCCGATGGAGAAGAGATTGACCAGCGACCTTATCAATCACAAACTGGTTTACTTTTGAGCGGCACATGCTGAAAACCAATACACCGAGGCCATAGGCGTTGCCCTGGCCTAAAGGCGGGAAAACATGAAAGGGACAGCCAATGAAAATGGTCTGGTGAAGCGCTTTAGCCAATCGACTTTTCCTATTTGGAATCCTCCGATAGAGGCATCGGCGAATGAATGGGAAGGGTAGCGGGGTTCTTCATGTGCTGTTGCTAAGAGAGCTTCGGCTTGTGTTTCCCTGCGACTGAGAAGGCGGTTATTGTGTCCTCCACAGTGGAACTCATAGCCAGCCTTCTTTCTAGCAGGGTCTCCAGAGGGACTCTTTCTCTCTCTTTCCTACATCAACGCCCCCCCCCTCCGCTTCCATGAGTATGTGATGTCTCTAGGCTCCATTTAATTTTTAAAATCTCAGTCCTAATAAATGCACGTCTCTTCCTCCAGCTCCCCCGAAGGCCCATTTTTATGGTGAAGATCAGTACAGGCCATGGTGAAACTGGCTGCCAAATGCATCGTGGCGGGTGAGTCCCCAAATTGGCCACCACGGTTTTCAGTTGTATCTTTTTTTTTTTTTAATAGGGCCTGGATTATCCTAAATCAAGACTCGGGTCAGGAAACTCAGTTACTTCCCAGCGGTTCCTGATCTAAAATTGCACTTAAAATGAATTAGGTAATTTGGAAATAAGGTCATCTGCTTGACTCACAGTGGGCTGAGATTCCTCCTAACCTTAAATTGAGCAGCCAAGCTTATATAAGGTGGCTTCTTTGGTTTGGTGTCAGTGCTGGGTACTTAAACTCAGGGGAATTGTGAACCCCATTAGTTGCTAGCTGCTGCTTTGCAACAGTTCAGGCAGGAGGTTTTCCTGACTTAAACCTAAAGATGCCAGCCCCAATCTAAAGCATTTGAGATTTCCTTCATGCAAATCCTGTGTTCTACTGTTGTGCTAAAATTTTTAACCAGTGAGAATTACTTCCAAGACAGTTTGATGGAGCACACATAATTTCCTTGCCTTTATAGGACAGGGTCTTTCCGTACAAGCCTGTTAACTTGAGAGTCTTTTGATATCTCTAAATCCAGGGTTTTTCATACTTAAGGCTGCAGAACCTGTTAGCTGAAAAATAATTCCAAGTACCCCAATAAAAACTCCCCCCCACTTTCTAATAGCCTCTCTCAAAACCTATCAAAATATCTACATTGCCAAGATCTACACTGCATTGGCACAGGGTCTGCACTGCAGTGGGTGATGAGAATCAGGGTGGATTAGAACAGTAAATTAACACATGGGGTGTGTTAATAGTGGAGAAAGGTAGTAAGGACAGCTGGGTAAATGGCTGTAGTATGACAGATAATTGTATAAGAAATACCTGAACCCCAAATTATGAGCTGTATATCTTCTAAATAAGCTCTGTACCACATACAGGCCACCAGGTGGGCCATTGGCATTTAACAAAAATATTCATCACTAGAAAGAACTGCCACCCTAAAAAAAACACTGTGCTATAAGCACCTCTTTTTATTGTTTGTGCCTTTTTTTGCCCATTTTCAGCTTCATAGTATCGGTTCTGAGGTGTTTGTTGATTAGAACTACATATGAAATTTCTACTGCCAAGTCATCATAGATTAAAATAGTATACAAATGGGACCTTTATTGTTTAATTTTGTTTCTACTTATTCCAAGCATGGAATTTGTCTCACGTACTGATATTAAATAGGATGCTGGAAGTTGGTGCTTCATTCTGTAGCATTCCTGCTCGCTATTTAACTTCAAGCATTAAAAAAAATTAAATTAAATTCCAATCAGCCAGGAAACCTGGGGGATATTATATGCATACCCTTGACTCACCCTTGAATTTCTATGGGTTTAAGTTTTCCTTTTCTGTGTAAACCTAGTATAAATATAGGCTTGTTTAACATAGCCAATAATAATAAAATGGGAGAGAACTCATGATTTCTTAATTAGACATGGCTTAATCAAAGAGCTTTTTCATCCATTTGTGATACAGGTGATTCAACTGTGGGGAAGACTGCTTTGGTCCAGATGTTCTGCAATGATGGGGCTCATTTTCAGAAAAACTATACCCTGGTGAGCCTTATAATAGACTGAGAGATACTGAGGAATTGAGTATTAATTATGATCCTTAAGATCAATATTAGAACATTTTTTTAAAAAATGCTAGAGTCAGTTTATACTTTTATCCAACCAGTTATTTTCAAGTGGGAAAACTGTTCCATTTTCCACTACATACATATACACACAAAATGAATGGGCATCAGTGGCCTGTTTATATAGAAGCTCAGTTGGAACTGGCAAATATAATTCCAATCTGACCTGTATATGTGCATTTTCTATTTGACATGTATTTGTGTTACTTTAGATTGTTGGCTAAATATATGTATCACCCATCCTCAAGTAATATAGAATAAACTTTAAAGCCTTTTAGTAAAAAAATCATTTAAATTAAATGAATAAATCATTTTTCAAACTAATTTTGTTTTTTCAGCTCTTAAGAATTAAATTTGAGTTTCTCTGACTGAAAAATATCTAGCATTGGGTATTGTGAAGGGTCACTTGAGAGACCTAACAAGTTGTAAAATAAACTGATTTTATTATTATTTGATATATTTTTCCATGTTATGATTGATAGACAGTAGGAGTGGAACTATTGGTGAAGACAGTATCTATTCCAGGAACAAATGATAGCGTGGTAAGATTGGCTATGATTTAGATTTATATATTTTTAAAACTCATTGAACAGACAGTTTTCTCAGAAATATTATTTATGTTTTATTAAGTTTAGCTATTTCTGTTCAGCTGTATGGGGAACTTTAATATTGGCTGTGTTGAAATAGGGATGGCACTTTATTGTCTATGAATTTTTTTTATCTGAATTTCTCAGAGATTAAAAAAATAGAAATGGTCATAATTAGTTGCATTATTATTATTTAAATTTTATTATAGCCACCCACTCCCATGAACTCTGGTGACTTATAAATACCAAACAATAAAAGCAGTTAAAAATACATAGCACCATAGGGACCACAAACTAAGACAGTCACAACAATAACAAACCAAACCAAAACAGGCTCACAAACATCATCCCAAGCCTTAGACCAAAGCCAAGTTTTAAAGGTGTTTTATAACCCCAAGAGAGAGGGAGATGTCCATACCTTTGGAAAGATGCTGTCCAGAGAGTAGAGGCATAACAAAAAAAGGCATGCTTCTTAGTCCCATAAAAGGACAACATTTAATATTGATCTGGAGCACATCCATTCTGCCAGAACATATTGGTGGTCCGTAAAGATTGATGGTAGGCAGGCCCTAAGATATCCAGGCCCTAAGCTATAAAGGTAATAACCTTTATGGGGGGAAACCAGCATATTAAATTGCATTTGAAATCTATTGGCAACCAATGACCATAGCAGCAATGCTGGTGGGTATCCTGAGAGGCAGCCATTAATGCTTGCACTTCTGCATTTTGCACCAACTCTAGCTTCCACATGGTCTTCAGGGGCAATTCCTTGTACAACACAATACAATTATTACTTTGATTACAATAATCCAGTTGTGCAAATTACTGACTTCATTTTTGGTACTATACAGGTAGTCCTCGACTTACAACAGTTCATTTAGTGTTAGTTTAAAGTTACAATGGCACTGAAAAAAAGTGACTTATTACCATTTTTCACCCTTATGACCATTACAGCATCCCCACGGTCAAGTGAGTAATATAGGTATGCTTGGCAACTGACTCATATTTATGATGGTTGCGGTCATGGTGATCCCCTTTTGCAACCTTCTGACGAGCAAAGTCAATGGGGAAACCAGATTCACTTAACAAATGTGTTAATTTAACAACTGCAGTGATTCACTTCACAAAAGTGACAAGAAAAGCTGTAAAATGGGGTAAAACCCAAATTTGTAAAAAATTTCTCACTTAACATACATTTTGGGCTCAGTTGTGGCTATAAGTCAAGGACTACTTATATTTGCCTTATCCAGCCTTCTTTAAATACAAATTACATTTTGTAAGCTTAATAAATATTTTAACTATATTTACATAAAATATTCAACATAATATTTTCTTAGAAGTATTTTGGCTTTTGTAGATTTTTGTTTGAGCCAAATGTTTTGAAGGTGGTATTTGTGTCATTAGAAAACCCAGTAAGAGGAGAACGCATCAATATACTTGCATCACAACATGTATGAATTTATTTTACATATTTTGTGTCAAATTTATTTTAAGATCCCATAGTTATTGAAAGTCTTGTATTTTTGCATCAAAAATATGTAACTGTTAAATTGCTATTTTCATTACAGTATGCATTAAGTTAACTGGAAATAATAACTAGATCTATTGGTTTATGTAAAGAAAAATAGTTCAAGATCTATGGGCCATTCCTTGAACTCACTCCATTGCAGCTGTGTATTGTGGTGATTCAGCACCACAGGCTAGTTCTTGAGGGAAGAGGGGGCATGAGAGAATGGCATCTTTGCAACTTAGCTATGGCCTGGAGTTCTTCTGTCTATGGAATGTGAATTTATGATCTTAACTCAATAAATTACATTTATCTTTTTTATGCTGCAAGCTGATTAGCCACTTGCAGAAAGAGACGTTTCCCCCCAGCTATGTCTGAAAATTCTAAAATTCAAAAGCTGTTCTGAACTATGGAATGTTTTTTTTTAATTAAACAATATATTTGTTCTCTTTTCAGGAACTCTTCCTCTTTGATTCAGCAGGCAAAGAACTCTTTTCCGAAATACTAGATAAATTGGCAAGTGTAAAAATCTTTTCTCCTGAAAGATTTGCTGTTTGTTTGGATGCTATGATTCTTATTTAAAATGTTTTTGTTTTATTTGTTTTATTTCAGTTATAGTATATGCCATCTAATTTTTAAGACTGCACAGTGTACAATATAGAAGATGTAGAACAAATTTTTTCACAAAAAAGAAAAATACCCAGAAAAAATAAGCACTATCTCCCAAATCAGACGATCTAGAAGAGGTGCACCGTGCATTCATTCTACCCCAAGGCCAAGGGAAAAAGCTAGATCTTAAGGGCTTGTCTAAACAAGGCTGGGGAAACAGACATAGGACTCTCTAGGGCAGTGGCTCCCAACCTTTTTCGAACCAGGGACTGGTTTCACGATTATTTATTCTTCCACGGACCGGTACCTGAGTAATGTGAGACTCCACCACCATCGGGACGGCTCTTCGTTCGAAGCCCCCCCCTTCGACGAAACTAAGGCGCGAGCACCCAAATGCCGCTTTCCAACTGAAAACCCAGAAGCAACTGAAAACCCGGAAGTGCTGTCGAAACAAGATGGTGGCGCCCAAGCTTTGCGGCCCGGTAAAAACTGATCCACGGACCGGTACCGGTCTGGGGACCCGTGGTTGGGGGCCCCTGCTCTAGGGGGAATGTCATTTCAGAGCACAGCCACTGTCACAAAGCGGCTCTATTTCCAGAGTTCCATTAGGTAGAACTGCTTAATAGACTCACAGTATGCCAGATCAACAAATAGTCCCTAAAGTATCTAGTCTGTATGCTGTGAAGGGCCTTATAGGTGATAACCAGCACCTTCAATTGTACCTGGAAGCCAGCTGGGAGCCATGAAGCATTGGTTTTACATGGCTATATTAAATATGTCCAGAACTGCCTTTGCTGCTGCATTCTAGACCAGCTACAGCTTCCAAAATGGTCTTTAAGAACAATCCCAGACAGAGCACACTTCAGTGGCTCAAATGCAAGATAACCAAAGCTCAAGTCCAAATTAATTAGATAAAACTGTAAGCAATTCTGACTCTCATTTTTTGTTTTCACCCAACAGGACTCCCACCTGGCCTATGAAACCAAGGCCATTCCCTCCCTGAAGTCCTCTTTCCCAATGGAAAGCATTACCAAATTCCTCATTATGGCAGTCCCAAGCCTTTGTTCATTGTTACCTTTCCCAGTATAAAAACGTCAAAAGAATGAAATGGGCTGTTTAGAACTGCCTTATTTGCTGAGTTTCTTAACTGAGTACATTTAACTTCTTGCCTGTGTCTACATAGAAAAAAAGTGTAGAGATGGATTGTTTTAAGAGGTGCAGCTTTGTAGAAGAAAACCATAACCCATCATTTAGGAGGTATCCCAGAGTGCAAATATGCCCCTTTAGAAAGAGAACACTCTACATGTCTTCATGCAATGGTAGCTGATCTGATACTTGTGCTAGAAAGTACAGTTGTGTTATTTTCTATACCTTAATTGTTTTAGAGATCTTGAATATGTATTCTCGTTTTGCAACTTTAAAACACAGAAGTAGCTGTAACTGTTTTAATTTGTTTTTTTAATTGACAATTCAAAGAATAAAGGTAGCCCACATTTACTTAAACTGTCTCTAATTTTTTTAAAAAAATACAAAGTTTAATTGTAATTAAAAGCATTATTTTCTCTTCCTCTAATTTATTTCTGTCTTGAATCAAATCACTTTGTTTCCTTGGACGTGACTGATATTCCAGACTTTAAATTAAATTCTAAATTCTTATCAAATGTTGTTGTGTTCATTCATACATTTTTGGATATTTAAAAATTAAAAAAACATGTTCCCTTTTATAAGTAAATAAAATTTCCAAATGGATGAATTCTGGATTTTTGAAAAAAAAATAGATTATTTTAAACTGGATTTTATTATTTTTTTCCAACAACATTTTGTCATTTTTCTTATAGAGGATGTAGGGTCATATGGGTGATTTATTTCAGCAAAATTTATATCGTTTTCCTTTTACTATATAGTGGGAACAGCCCAATGCCCTATGCATTGTGTACGATGTCACCAATGAGCAATCTTTCAATAACTCTGCTAAGTGGCTAGAAAGGCTGAGAATCCAAACATCAGGTATTCATATTCCAGGTAGGAAATTTTAAATATCTTTGCATATATATTTTTTTCCTACATCTCATACTCCTCAAATATGTTAGAAAACAGAACCTTGATTCCAAACAATTTCTTTCTTCAGTTTACATTTTCTTCATGTATTGAAGAATTGTAAAATTTATATTCTAACTTATTCCTTTGTGATCCTTTTCTCTTGATAAATGTCAGACAATTCTTTTTAACTTGTTAGCTTTGCTTATCTGTAACAATCCAATATTTTATTTTATTTTTCTTTTAGGTGTCCTGGTGGGCAATAAGATTGATTTAAGTGATAGGAGAGTTGTAGAGCGCAAACAAGCACAACAGTGGGCAGAAGCAAATGGCCTGGAATACTGTGAAATATCAGTAGTGAGTAGCTTTACTTTACTGGATATGCAATGTAAATGCATTTATTTTCATTCTGAGGAAAGGCTGGATTATTTTGGTTGATTTATGCGGTAGCTTGATGAAATAACTATCCATTTGTAATTGTTTCTTTTTGTCTTTACAGAAAGAGATGGAAAATTTTGAAGTTCCTTTTCACATTGTGGCAAATTCTTTCCACCGATTGTACAAAGAGAAAGTAGAAATTTTCCATTCATTGGCATGAGGTGTCCTTAAGTACAGTATGATGGATTAAAAAGAAAACACTCTAACAGGCAAAATCATATGAAAATGGAAAGTAGGTTTTTGTTGTATAGTCACTTGCTTTCCATCATAGAGAATTATAATTCTTCAACTATTATTTCAGATCTCATCTGCTTATTGTTTATCCTGTGATGGACTTTTTTTAGAAGAAACATTGTTAGCATTTTTACATGAATTCAGAGTTTAAATACTGTGACATATTTGACAAATTTCATAAGGAGAAATCTATCAAAAATTTAAAACATGCCATTACTATGGACATTTCAATAATCCAAACAATCTGTTTCTTACAATTGAGTTATACCAAGTAATTGTTATTCAGAAATCAATATAAAAGATATATTTCAACTTTAATTTTCTAAAGGTAGAAATTCATAATCCTTAAGAATTTTCTGCAACATTTTTTCTGCCAACTCAAAATATCATTTGGTGGAGGGTTTTTTTGAACGTTGGTAACTAAACCATTGTTATAGGCCTTTTTCCGTTGCCTTTTCTAACTGCAGGGATACCAATTATTTTAATGGAGGAAAAATGTTCAGACACCACTTTGCACATATCATTCTTAATACTATGTTCTAAAAACATTGTAGGTTAGTAGATCAATTTGCCAGGGTTTTTTCATATCTTATTAATATTGTTATTAGTATTGTTCAAACAACTGGTGGACTTTTTAACATCTCCATAATGGTATTCAAAGAATCTGCTAGAAATAATAGAGTGTGTTTATTTTAAACTGAAAAATTATACTGGAAAGACTTGTCATAGTGAGCGGGGGGGGGGGGGGGGGGGGGGGGGAGGGCAGACAAAATACTACAAAAATATCTTTTTTTTTTTTTTTTACAAAAAAAAGGGGGGGGCTTTCAATAATGATTCTGCCAGCTAGAAATGGGACAGAAATCCACCCTAGATTTCAAACAAAAATGATAGAAATCCGCATACAAAATGAGTGAACCAAAAATGAAGCTGGTGCATTGCTTGGGTAAATTTGAATTGTATGAAAAGGGCAGGGTTTCAAACTGTCAGGCCTCCAGTGCTACCAGAGGAGAAAACATTTTATTCCTGTTGCAAGAAATGGATAATTCTTGCCTAAGTCTACTTGCTTCTAATTTATTTCAGTTTAGAGTTGCTTTCCAAAACTGTTGCTCTTCTTGAACTAGCTTTCTTTCTTTTTTTTCTTATGTGGCTGCTCAGTGCTCTTTGCAAAAGGTCATCTGGCTCATTAAGAAAGCAAAATCTGCAATTTAAAGACCATATCAAACGTTTTTCAACAAGTTTGAGTTGAATAGTTAGGTCACAAGCTACACTATTCTGAGTGTATCAATATTTAATTAAATGTATCTTTCAGATTTAAATCTGGTAACTGTACCCTAGGGCTGTGCACCTTTTCTGAACCTATATGTTTAGACACAAAACAATTTTAAATGACCCTTGAAATTGCTGCACACAACCTTAGAGAGATACAGCTTTCTTGACACTTGAGCAGTAGGTTTGATGGCACACTTTGGTTATTTCACAAAGTGCTTTTCACAGCCCAGCTGTACCCTGCTGTATCCCACATGCACACTTATTAATGTTGCTACATGTTGTTGGATATTTAGAAGAGATCAACAAGTAATAAGTACATTAATTATTTCAGTATATACAGTTAACTGTGTTTGGGTAATTCCAAGAACTACTACCATTGTTGACTTCCATTTTCTAAGTGTACTTTGTTAAGCTGAAATGATTGGTAGAGAAAATTGCAAATTGAAAATGTTGAGCAGTTTGGCAAATGCCATATTTCCAGTCCTGCATTGAAAGTTAGAATTGTCAAAGGTTTTCCATTCCTGGTTTTGTTATGATCCTGAAGGAAGATTTATATTTGGGATATCCAGATACGAAGTTCTCTTAATCTTTGTGAGCTACAGTCCTATTTCTACTTGTCAGATAGCAGCATAAATGAAAAAATGTGTGATTGTGTGTGAGGTTCATTTGAACGATACTGCTTCTCCAAGGAGTAAAGGAACAGAGGTCAAGTTCAGGTCATCAAGCAAGCAGGCAAACATGGAATTTTGGGTGGATTTGATGAATTTGTGCTTTTAAAAGTCTATACAAGTTTTTTAAAAAGTAGCAGATTATTCCTTAGAATTGATCTAGTATGCCCATTCATATAGTAAAATGTAAATGAATTGAATCCAAGCCATTGATAACCATTGATTGTGATTGCATAATGAGCTCAGAGGCCACATATGGTTGATTGCAGAAATAACACGATATGATTGACAGAGCAATCTACACCTGAAATGGCTTATTTCATAAATCATAATGGAAGTAGCCCAGTCCAACTTCATACTTGTTTCTGGATTAACATTAAGAAAAGCAAAATCCATAATCTAACATAGGAAAAACATAAACATTATTACTTGAAATATAATATTTATATGTAATCAAAGCTTTTTACCAAGATTCACATCAATAAGTGAACGTATTTTGTTTAGCCACCATTCTTTAAAACATAATTTTCTTTAAAATGTCTGTATTTTGTGGGGACAATTAATAAGTAAATGATGCAGCAATAATAGTCTTTACATTGATAATCTAAATTTCGTTTCTGGCTAATGACCCCCCCCCCCTTTTGATTAATTTCTAGCATGCCTTGCCTCTTTTAAATTTTATATATTGATTTTAATATTTTATTGTACAAATTTCTTCTGAGAGAGAGATGCACAGCTCTTAAATACTGTATGAATAAATAAACAAATTTATGGTTGTGTCAAAGGGGCAGATTAAACTCTGCTTTAGGGGCAGAGCTGGATCTCTAAACAAAGCTGCTCCTATTCTCTATATTCTCACGGTTGGAGATCTAAGAACAGTTTTCTTAGTCAAGAATTGAACCACAGCAGCTTCTACTGCTGTTGATAGTGGATAGTTCTCGAATTCAGCCTAGTATTGAATTTGAGTACAGAGGTAAAAATGACGATTTTTAAGATTAAAATCGTAATCCCTAACCTTTCATTTTTAAGGGTATAATAAATGAATATTGCTCCCTCTTGCATCAAAGAGAATCAAATGAGATATCCTTGATTTATTTTTCACTCTCCTCCCTCCCCCCCTCTTTTCTCTTGTTGATGTTTATGTAATCATTCTTGCAATGCTCCTTTAATACTACACTACATGGTGTGGCTTTCATTCCTTATGGATAGGAAAAATGGCTAAACAGAAGTGACAGCTAGCAGAAGAGAAGGGATAGAGAGCACATAGATAAAGAAGACTTCATGGGAGCAGGCTACTTTCTATAAGCTTTGTTTTTCTTCACCCATCTGAAATTGTACTAATATCTTGGCTCTGGGTTTGTTACTTATGAATGTCATCAGTGTGGAAAATATTACAAATTTTAGCACTGGGCATGAGTCTTTACCCTGTTTGTAAAGCCCACCATCTCTCTCTCTCATTGTTATCCTGTTTTTAGCTGGCCAAGAATATTTTTATATAAAATCCTATTTAGAGTCTAGGATTTCCCCGGCCATTGGTATGTTCCAGTTGATATGACGCCAAAATTATTATTTACTTCACAGCATTAGGAAAGGATTGAAATGTGATAATCAGAGTATTAATATGAGTTAAAATATATTTGAATTAGGGTTATCCTAAACAGACATCCCCTTCATTCTCCTAACAAGACTGCTTTCATTTATTTTACCATCTGCTCCTCAGTGCTGGAGATGATGCTGGAGATATGTGACTTGGGGCACTCAGGCAGAAACTGGCCTGCACAAGGCCAGGCATGTGTTTGTCTCCTAGCAATGCAGCGGTCAGCAACAAAAAAATTTGCTGCCATATCAGAGAGCAAAGGCTTGGAAATATTTGAGATGCAACAAGATGGGCTGTAGGAAGGCAAGATTTGGGGAGGGTCAGAGGAGACAAGCAACTGCGGGATGAAGGCAGATTGATAGGCTGCATACAGATGTAATAAAATAGATTAAATAACCAGATCATTTAAAGATACTGAAATATTAGAAGACAGGGATATGCAGAGTTGGTAGTTGCTGACAAAATGACTTAGTTTGTCCCTCTAGCAGTGAGATAATAGGAACAGCATGAATCAAGACTGATGGTTGGAAATGCTACAAGAAAGCAAGAACAATTCTACCACATGTGGCAGTTATCTTAAAAACCTCAAAGGTACCATAAAGAAATAATCAACATATTCAAAAAAAATCCCAAACAATACATTTCAAACTGCAGCCATATATATGTTTATTAAGTATGATTCCAGAAACCAAAAAAAAAAAAAATCAGCTTGCTAAGATATTTGTTAACAATTGCAAAAGCAAACTTGTCACAACACTGGAAAAAAAATAAATCTTGATAATGTCAGATTGGGAGATTAAAATTGGAGCATAAACTGTAATGGCAAAATGGGCAGTATATCTGGGTCAACAACTACATGACCCAGAGAGCAGGGTGGGGTGTTGGTTTTTTTGGAATTTCTGTATTATGTGAGGATATTTTGTGCAAATGGTTCTTGTGGCTGTAATATCAGTATTGTAATATATCAATATTCTTCTGAAGTAAAGGTACCACCAGGAAAGCCTCCAGAGGTGTGGCCTTAATGCACAGATAAATAGGGAGTGGTTACCAGGCATTGGGTAGTATCAGCCCCTTTTGTTAACATCTTTTCACCATCATGTAGGAACCCCACAATCTGCCCAAGCAATTGGAACTTAAACAGGGAATGAGCGTGTTTGGATGGACTATATGGCTGATGAAATAAAAGCAGACCCAACAGTTAGGTTGATTGCTGACGGCTGACTTAACATTTAAAAAGATTCTTTGCTCCTTAGGAGCAGGATGAAATGGATGAGCTGCATAGATTTTCTAACACCATCTGCAGAGTGAGCCCAGAGAAGGTGTTAGAATTGGAATGGAGGCTTCACCACAAGTCCTCAAGCTGTTAATACATCATTTTAATGCATCTTTACTTCATCAGATGATATATATTGACATATCTGTTGGGACCTGTATACAGATGTCCTAACATTTCCATGGCTATATGGCATGAGGAACTGATAGCCAAAGGAACAGTGATTGCTTCTCATTAACCAAAGATGCTCTTTGAGGCTAGACTTTCAAGTCCATGGAAGAAAAGATGTCTTACATCCCAGTGGATGAACATCAGGGGCCAAATTATAATACTTAGACAAGTTCTAAAGAGCTAGATAGGCATCATAGCATGGGGAGAAAGGGGAATTGATTTTATTATACTCTAGGCGTTAAAGTAAAATCAGATTAGTTTCTCTCTCTTTAAAACGAGTGAGAAAAGCTTTCCCTGCCTAAACAAATGGGAGGGGAGGATGCCACAAATGCTTTATGAAAAGGAACCCTTATTTGTATCACTGCATACACATGCTTATACGCCATACCTCAAGACCATAACAAGGTGAGCTAATTCTTTTCTAAAGCTAGGCTTCCCTTCAAATATTTTTACAAATGTCCATCCATTCCAGTATGGATGATATACTTATTTCTGGACAAAGACCCAAATACTACATTCCTGCAACTCGTAGAACTATATTTAGTCTCATATAAGTTGAATGCAGCCTATGTGTTGGTTTATGGTCCAGTGTGTCTTATGAATCCAGAAAATTGGATTAATTGAATAAACCATGGTTTTGTAAATGATGAATAAACTTTGCTTAAACACAACCAAAAAGCTGTACTCAGTTTACATAACTCACTATAGGTAGTCCT